TTTATTATATTATAATTTTTTTATTTCGTGTTTCAAACTTTATCATATCCGGGATGTCTTCTAGACTCTTCTTTGGATATATTTAGGTGAGTTATTCCTAAGATTTACTAAGAATTACAGGCCTACAATATAAAACAACAAATTTCCATGAAAAACAATGTACCACTTTGGCATGCTAAAATCCTGCATACCGCCAGGGAGGTTAAGGGATTAAACAAATAATGCATATATATGGTATAAAATGGGTTCATACTGCTATGATGTGTTTAGGCATGTGCATTATGCTGCACAAAGACTGTGTTATGCTGAACGTTAACGTATCTTACGTTACGACAGCCCATTAATTTGAATGGGCTGCTTAACGTATCAAAATGGTGCATGCAGTATTTTTTATAACAGAATGCACAGTAGTGCTTTACTGTGTGTTGTGATGTGGCACACTGCAACGCACGTTCATTGGTAAAGTGCTTTGGTGAACCATTAAGGATAAATGACACAACACCAAGCATGCATAGCGCGCACGCTTACACACATGTTACTATGCAACAGTGTGAGCCCAACAATTTTAAGTTTCCCTTTTACAGATTTGACTGGATTATTCATTAAAAGTGTCGAGCAAAAGTTATGATGATCATTCATCTTTCAGCTATGACGAATGATTTAACTTGCCTATGATTCATTTTTCATCATTGACAAAACAATATATCTGGGAGGGGTACAAGTTCTGAGGTAGCTCAGCACACTACCTTACTACCTAATATGTGATTTATTGAGATCTTTTCTCGACTAAAACAATATCCTCTCTAATAGCTGTTATTTGCTTTGATCTTTTGCAATGAGTGATTAATCTTCTATCCCTATTAAACTTCATTGAATAGGCTGTAGCCTGAAGCTTATGGAAGGAAAATAAACTGCAATATGAATGGAACGAACTAGATCATTGTGCTATGGACAAATAAAAATTGCATGGATACCTTCTATAGCACCTCTCACGGAAAACACTTTAGCAAAACTAAGTGATTATTGTGATGACCTACAATTAGTCTTACAAAGACAAGGCCTAGCCTTGCTTATTTTAAGTATTTAAGTGAACCTGTCAGCCATTCTATAGCTGAACTCTGGACCCCCTCCCCAGAATCCAAACCCAAATTTTGTGGCAAATTCTATTGAAGTCTATAGTTTGCCAAATCCTGCCTTTAAATTTGTCTAATTGTTAGACAAGTAAGTATCAAAGCCCCTGTACATAAAAGAATAACCTCTTAGTGCCCCTAGTTAAAAAAAAAAAAAAAAAGTTTTTACAAATTTAAAGCATTCAAGAAAAAGGAAAAACAGTTTTAAAAAAATATGTTTAATATAAAAATAATAGGAAAATATAGTGCCGAGGAGGCTATTAAGATAGGAGACAAATATACCACATCATAAAATTGCTCCAGACTAAAATTGTATTTCAGTCCTTGTATTTTGTGACCTATAACTCCCAAAATAAACTGAAATCCCAGAAATATAATAAACCCTACAAATAAGGACACATTATAGAATTTATTAAGAATTGCTTTCTGTTGACTACACTAATTATGTACACATTAATATTGCCAAAGCTGTTAATGTTTTTTTTTCATGTTTTTTATAAAAAAAATAAGACTTTATATGTCACATCAAATTAAAGCCCATTTTGTCCTATATATGTAGGTGCAATGAATGAGAAAGATGGAAATTGTGGTTAAACAAACACATAGCAAAAATGGCAAAATTGCTCCGTTCCCCAGAAGCAAAAAAGCAAAAAAATAATAATTCTGAGGCTGTGTCACTAAGGGGTTGAACAGGAGGACATGGGTTTTTGGTCTTGGAAGCTTAATTCGCAGGGTGCAGATGTAGTGTTGTCCCATGATGGAGTTCTCTTGAGCTTAAATTACAAACCTTTTCATCTTAGAAAGTTTGCATTTCTGCCCACTTATATCACTTTCAGGTCTTCCATCAGTTTCTATGAGTGAAACATTTCTGCTTGCAAACTCTAGATGGCAGCACAGTACCATGAATGTCATAGGACAGCAGTCAAATGGTCAAACGTTCTTAATTCTTATTACCATAGCAGCTAAGGGTCCAGGATAGTTCCTCTAAATGGTGAGGATGGCTGAATAATGTGTATTGTCTTAGCAAATGGTACACATGCACCATTTTTCCAGAGCTTGAAAATACAGCACAGCAAGTTTTAATTTTAACTGTAGAGATGTTTCTTTGGAATTTGTTGTTCTTGAAACAATTGTGTGTGAATGTGTGCGCCTCAAAATTCTGTGTGTCAGAAAAACGTAGCTATTATATAGGTTTGCATGCTCTCCCTGTGCTTGCATGGGTTTCCTCCAGGTACTCTGGTGTCCTCCCACACTCCAAAGACATGCTGGTAGGTTAATTGGCTCCTGTCTAAATCAGTCCTCCTATGTATGCATGCAAGATTAGGCCACAATACAAGATGGGGAGACAAGGCAAGTTTTATCTTGAAATAGAAATTAGAGTGTATCATCAATAGCCACACATGCTGTTCAGTGGCTGCACAGTATGTATGCAGCTTGGTAGGCCACAATATAAATATAAGAGAGAGAAAAAAAATGGTTAATCTTGAAATAGAAATTAGTGCGAAAATAACCCTGCAAAGTGAACAGCCTATTTCCCCTTAGTAAATGAATCCCTATATGTTCACTACTCATTTGTAAAAGTTGTTCTTAGCTGCAGACATTTATTGGGGTTGAGTTATGAAAGGAAAGAGAATCTTCATTTAGCAAAGTGAAGATGTGTCCACTCAATCATCCAATCATCTGCAAGGTAAAATCCTGTTTTTAAATCCCCTTGCACATGATCGGATGATTAACGTGAGCACTGCTTCGCCACCAAGCATTCTCCTTTAATAATTAAGGCCCATTGGTTTAATTCAGTTACATTGGTTGTCCCAATGTAACTGGTCAGAGTGAAGAGTTTTCCTAACGTGTGTGTGTGTGCGCGTGTGTGCATTTTGTGCCTGAGATTTGTGTTCTGATAAACTCTTCCTCCACTTTAATTTTTTAAACTACAGAAGCCACTGCACAGAGAAGAAAGGATTTATACATAGCAACTAACTACTTTTAATCTTATATAATAAAGAACTCTGCAAGAGCTAAGTGCTTGTTTTGTATAGAGCAGTAGTTGCCAAACTGTGTAACAAACACATTTCTCCTTGGTCATTAAGTTGCGACCTAAGTCTGCAATGTCTGCATCGCAATGGAACACAAGGCTTTAGGGTACCGGCGTTCCAATGCAGGCGTACAAACTGTGGGTGGGAGGTCCGTTTGAGGTACAATTTAAATGAATGGCAACGCAACACACCTTCCACATCTGAATTCACGTTAGGTGCGATTGCTTGGTACAGTGTGTTAATCGCACAGTACTATGCGATTAACACACTGTACTAGTGTGAACGGGCCCTCAAAAACACTGACATACATATACAACAACAGACGCAATCTCACACTTATACACACTCCAAAGAAATGTTTCATTTTATATTTTTTTAAGGTCCATCCAGTCTCCCTAACTTATAAGAACAGGATTGAATCCTCAGCCTGGGGTCCAGAGCCTCTCGCCTAGAAAAGTGGAAGGCATGCTGCGACCCACTGAACTTGGTTCTCACAACCCACCAGTTAAGAACCAAGGCTCTAGAGGATTAAAATAAAGTAGATTTACTTACCTGATCCCATTATCATAACAGTCAGCACTCCCCTCTCTTCTAGACTGTGGCAATGGAATGTCCCTCACCATCCCTACATTTAATGCAGGCATCAGTTAATCTGCAAAAGATGTAATGATGTCAGTGGTCCTTAGAGCCCAGTGGAGAAGAGGCTGTGGGGACCGGTCTAGCAACCTAGAGGAAGCCAGGACCCAGTAAGTAATTCTGTTTTATTCCATCCCTAGACCAAAATAAACACTAAAGACTTTTAATGCCATGGTAGTGCCATTGCAAGGGTAAGTTTTGCATTTGGCTGAAGTTCTTCATTAAAGGAGAACTATGGAGTTAAGGCTTTCCCCCATAGTTCTTCTTAGGGTAACGGGAGCACACAAACTAGTGTCCTCCCGTCACCCTAGGCTCAGTATACCGCAAGCTGTAGCTGGCGGTACAGCTCGCGGTATACTGAGACGCCGCAGCTGAAGCGGATCCCGACAATTGTGCCGGGATCCGCCCAGCTGCGTGACAGACAGCTGGCTCTGCCTATCTAGAGGCAGAGCCAGCTGTACCTGCCCCCTCCCCCGTCCGTCCCGCCAGTGAGCGCTGGCAGATCGGAGCGGGGGGTATCCAGCCCCTCCCCTGTCACGGCAGAGAGCCGTGACAGGTTCGAGAGGTGAGCGAACGCCGGTATGTGTTCGCTCACCTACCGATCTACTGAGCCGACCTGTGACAGTCTCATTGTCACAGGTCGGCTAGAACTATGAGGTGAGTGAAAAACACTCACCTCATAGTTCTCCTTTAAGCAGTCAGTTCGAAAATTATTGCTGTGTTAAACAATATGTCTGAAGTGTGCAGAGAATTATGAAAACTTTAAAGTTACTGGATTAATAATGTGTTTACCAAATTATCTGTGGAAAAAAGTCAGAAAGACTGGCCACGTAGAGCAAAGGAGCACTGTAATACTGACAGGCTTTATTAAGATTCTATCAGGGTGTAACTGTGTACAACATGATTAGTGACATGACAAATTATATTTTAAAAATAGAACATATTCTGCGAAATTTATCATCATAAAACCTCCTGTCAAAAATGTGCTCTTCAAAATATTTAAAGGACACATTCATTTTCATAATAAAGGGGGGGTTTTAGCATCTGCAGTATTGCGGCTTCACCAGCACCAATCATAGGGAATAATGATTACATCCATGTCCTTCCAGTGCAGGGGAGGAAGGGGGGTCATGTGGATGCTTTTATCATTAGATTGTAATTTCCTATAACTGCATTCCACTTTTCAAGTAATTTTTTTTTCACAACACAGTGGAATCATATTAACAAAAAAATCATAGTTGTAAAAGTCAGTAGCAGACTATAATCTTCTCTCTGGTTCTGACTGCTTTCCAGATGCAGTAGACTGGTACCTTACTGCTGTACCGTGACCTGACTGAGCAGCATGCTGCGAGACAAATACATGACTAGTGAACCCGGCTGTCATTTATACTCGTGTACCCATAGCATACATCTTAGCAGTTTCTGTCTGTGGAGGAGAGTAAAGCTTGCCCGTTGAATTTCTTGCAGGAAAATAACTCTTTCTAGAATAATATGATTGGTTTCTGTTGTATCTTCCTTCTGAAATAAAAAATAGATATTAACAATATAAATAATTTGCTTACAGTTGAAAAGTGAACCTGTGCTTGTCCATGCAAAAGTAAGGAATAACTGCATTAGGGCCCATTCACACCAGCAGCCCAGTGCTGATGTGCTTCATCTTGACACTTTGCACTATTTACTATTGATTTTTTGTTCAAACTTTATTGAAATGTCACATTTATTTATGTTTATTGAAGTGACAGTTCATATATACAGTATTATGGGCAGATGGTGGTACCGCTTACACTGCAGGGCTCTGCTAGAAATGTACCCTCAGTTTCTGTTATGCTGACAATGACACCAGACAGGAAGTGAGCAAAAATCTGCAACATGTCTTTCCCTATTCTGCTAAAGAAAATCATTTTTATTTCTGTATATGTTGTTGGTGAGAACATGCCTGTCTGGTGAAACCATTGTCAGCAGAACAGGAAGTGAGGGTTAATTTCTCTAACGGAGCCCTGGAAAGCAGTGATAAATGGACAGGGGTTCCAACCCTTCCCAACTCTATCAAAACAAAAATAAAAATGTTTTAGCTGAATATACACTTAAATCTTGAAGTCTTAACTTGCCGCTCACATAGAGCTGAGGACACTCATAGGACATACACCACTAGGGAAAGGGGCCACACTACAAGCCATTAACGCCATCACACCACACCCATTTTATTAGAAACAACCATATTTTGTCACATGCCTGATGTGCAGTGCAGGAGGGGGGAAATGGGGCAGAGACAACAGTAACGACCTGCCTAAACCTACCTAAATGTCCCAACAATTAAAACTGGCTGTCTTGTGGTAATATATTTTAGATCTATTATTTAAAATGTACTATATTTTGTGCAGTCATTTGTAATTAGATCCCTCCACATTTTTTAAGGCACAGGCATAATTGCTACCTACAAATTAATAGAATATTTATGCATTGCTAAAACATGAGAGATTCTAAAACCTGACAAAATGTAAAATCATTGATACCAAATCTACCTTTGCTGCTTCCTACCGCTTGTCAAATACAACGATCATGCTGAAAGATATTTATCTTGGTAATGTTATATGGATTTTTGAAAAATAACCTTAGTAAACAAGTCTCTAAATATTGACAGGAAACACTTTGCTGAACAGTTACAGAGAAATGGTGTGAATAATGCATGGGTACAAGTTATCAGCAAGCTGTACATCAAGTTCAGTCCGACATTTATCAAGGCACCTGGCAGTACTAGTAGGTAATATTACAGAAGTATGAACTCCAACATGACTTGTATATAAATATATATTTCAGCACAGCTTGTATGTAAAAATATGTTTCAGCATAACTCATACATGAAGTTGTATTTGTATAGATGTAAATCACATTAAAATATTTATTTGGTAAGTAATGATGTCATCATTTAAATCTGGAAATTAGAAATATATATTTGGAAAGTGTTGATGTTTCTTTAAGCTTACAAGCTTAAAGCAACTCTGTTGCTATGGTAAAATTTTGAAATAAAACCATACCTGGAAAAGAAGTGTAACTACTCCCCTTGTCTTTGGCCTACACCACCAAAAGTCACCCTGATCCTGAGAAATTTTCACTCCTCCTATTCTTTCATTTTTGTATGCTCTCTTAACTGTGAAAAAAACATACTCACCCGCCCAGCAAATCCTGCATTGTCCTGCTAGGAGCCACTGCTCTGCTGACATAGGTTGGGTCCTGCACTGACTCACTCTTCCGGGTTTAAGCAGCCCACCTCCTATGACCTGTCTCTGGGTCTGCACTTCAGCTTCTATGCTTTCGTGCTTCTGCAGACTTCAGTGATATGTAAAGTAGATATCCCAGGGGTTTGTGTGAACAGGGGCATGTTATTCTCTGCATTCTCACCAAAATAAAACAAAAATCACTAAAAAATGTAAAGCCGTTTCCCCCCTAAAAAAAGTATTTTCAGATTTACGACCTAGAGAGCCCATTTGCTGGTAACAGACAGATTAAGTCAAAAGAGAGAGTGAAGGTCCCCTTTAAGACTAAAGGGAAACCAACACTTATTGTGACAATTTCCTGGGCCCCCTGCAGTTGTGACTGGTTCCTCTGGCTGACCTAGACACATTGCGGCAAAGATTTAGAGTTCCGAAGGAGGAACCAGTGAGAGTTGCAGACGACCAAGGAGACTGACACTCCTGGAAGACAATAGCAAAGGTAAGTATTTACACTGTTGTTTTACAAGTATGGCTTTATTTCAGGATTTTACAATAGTGATGAGGTTGCTTTAAAAAGAATCACATAATGCATAGTGATGGAATTCTTAGCTATCAGTAAATGTAAAACACAACTTTATATAAGGGTCTCAATTGATAACCTCATTCTGAAAATTTTAGTTGCTTGCCTATTCTGCTGATCCCCTAGCTTTAATATATTCTGAATCACTGACCTGAAGCACGTATGTATGTATGTAGATAAGGAGGATCAAAGAAGAGCTAGAAGTCCTTCTCTGCATACTTGCTCTGGGTAATTGATTCAAGGAAAAAAGACAAAGAAGTAGCATGGCAGCCAGGCAACTAGCAATGTTAGCAGAAGAATAGGATTAGCAGCCTCCATATTTATCCCATAAAAGGTTTTCTTTGTGAGTTGTGTACTGTAACAAGTGGCACACAAGCCCTTCCAAATGGCAATTTTTTTAACTATCTTTCTCTAAAAACAGTTGCCCCTCTCGTGTCAGAGTGTCAGGCAAATGGTGTCCAATTTAGCACATCTTTCCCTCATCATACTTTTCTCTCTTTTGGCCACTGTAGTGATATCATGCAGGGGAAGAACAACATCTGGGAGTTTGTAGCAAGGAATAAAGTTAATTTCAGATGGCATTCATGGATAAAGAACAGAGATATTTGACATACAGAAAAGTCCCCAAATGTACATCATAGTCTAGATTATCACCTAGAATTAAAGGAGAACTATAGGGTTAAGTCTTTTCCCATAGTTCTCCTTAGGGTAACTTGAGGACACAAACTAACGCCCTCACGTCACCCTAGGCTCAGTATACCGCAAGCTGTAGCCCTCGATATACTGAGATGCCGCAGTATACAGCGAGCTGCTGCTCGCGGTATACTGAGACGCCGCAGCTGAAGCAGATCCCGACAATTGTGCCTGGATCCGCGCAGCTGCGTGACTGACAGCTGGCTCTGCCTATCTAAAGGCAGAGCCAGCTGTACCCGCGCAGGCGGATCGGAGCGGGGAGGGGGGAATCCAGCCCCTCCCCTGTCATGGCAGAGAGCCGTGACAGGATCGAGAGGTGAGCGAACGCCGGTATGTGTTCGCTCACCTCCTGATCTACTGAGCCGACATGTGACAGTCTCATTGTCACAGGTCGGCTAGAACTATGAGGTGAGTGGAAAGCACTCACCTCATAGTTCTCCTTTAAGTCTTATATTTAAAACTTTATAGCTCTGAAAAAGCCTTTTTTGGCAAACAAAATATGTTTTAAAATGGAATACATTACACTAAACTATTTCCAAAAGGTAGGTCCTTTTAATACTAACAAAAAACGCATATACAATATAATTATAAAATAGCTGAGCTTAATAAATTACCATTAACATAAAGTACTCAAGCATGTATACAAATGTAATTTAAAATTATGTTTACCTTGAAAGAGATAATGGCAGGATATGAGTAGAGCGCCACATAAAAAACATCCCAGAGATCCAATCATTCCAAGCCAACAAGACCAACCAAACTTGTACTGGATTCCAAGGAAAACATTGTGCATTACTAAACTTGAGCGCTCCACATATACATCAATCGCATACCATACTGAGCCAATGATCCCAGGGACACCTGATGGAGCAAGCACAATGATCATTTCTATTAATAGGAACCTAAGACATGCTGTTATACTGATCATTTATCATTTTATAGCTCATATTTTTGATAAAGATGACAGGTTTGTGAGCAATATTCTCTTTTCATATTAATGTGTCAATCTGATATTGTGGGTTTTATCTACCAAAGGTAAATAGGATGTTACATTTTCAAGTGAATTTGCACCTTGCAAGGGAAGTTGCCTATAGCTTGGTGAATGTGCTTGAATACTAATGTAAACCAACCTGAACAAGAAAGTGATAAACGTATCTAGTTTGTTATTAAATAAAATTAAGTTAGGATTTTCGCTGCCCTCTGATTATCCTTATTAGCCCCTTCTAAACCACCATTTAATCCTTATTACCCCCTTCCACACCATCAGATTATCCTTTAACCCTCTTCCCCACCAATCATATTATGCTTATTACTCCCCTACCCCACTATCACATTATCCTTATTACCCCTTTCCACACCATCATATTATACCTATTACCCCCTTCTCCACCAGCAGATGATCTCTATTTCCCTCTTCCTCAAGGGCTCAACCACATACAAGTAGCAGAGGAGCACCTCAACTGTCATTGGCACAATAAGGTAAGCGTTTAATGATGTATGGATTACAGAGCTGGAATAATTTGAATCTTTAATATCCGCCTGGAGTAAGGGGTTTACTGCAGCAAAAGAAAATCAGGTCTCCTGCAGACAAAAACACAAATCCTTTGCATTTCCAGAAGTTGACGATTATGGATTGGGTGTATTACTGAGATTTAGGTTTTCAGATGTGATTATTGCTGCACCAAAACTTCTCATGTAAAATGTTTGCACCTTTAACCTTTTACCAAAAAACAACCATGACAATCTTCAGGAGTCAGTTTAGCACTTTTATTAGTGGACAGAGATGTCAGTATTTAAAATCTTTGTTTAGAGAGACCCTGTCACTTTCCAAAATATTCTAATCCAAGTATATACCTATAAAGAAGAGGGTGCATACCTAGCTTTCCTGCTGCCTGTGCCACTCAACTCCATTGCAAAGACTGGTCCCCCCAAGTCTATGGGGAAACTACACTTCCGGAAATGTCTATTACCATGGTCCTGTGCAGCTCTTGCTGGTTCCTCACTCTGACCTTATGTCACTCTAAGAGAGAGGAGAGATGTGATGTCAGTGGGAGATCACTCTCAAAGTGTCACTTTCCCAGCAGACTTGAGGAGAACATTTCTTTGCAACAGAACCGTGTTGAGCAACGCATGTGGCAGAAAAGATTAGTATGTATCCTCTTCTTTACAGCTATATGCTTGGATTAGAACATTTTCTAATGTGACATGGTCTCTTTAACAAAGTTTGGTCAAGTAATCAAATGGCTCCTGGTGAGCTTTATGTGCCAGAGCTGATGTGTAATTCCTGTCTAAACGTAGAACCTTTGATCTCCAAATTATAAATAAGCATAGTTTCCCATTTTAAAGTAACATAAATATGTTGCATGTTTCAATGAAACTCATCAGAAACCAAAAACAAAGTGTTCACACTTTCTATGAGCTTTCATAACAGTTTAATAGAATCCCTGTAGAACAATCTGTGATGTTTTGAAGAATAAAATCTACATATGCAAAATATGAAAGGGTTGGCAATACATTCCTCGAATATATTTGTTTAAAGGGGCTATAAAAAGAGCCTATTTAAAGTTCCAAGTAAAATGAATTCTTTCTCAACTGCAATTCTCTAGAGAAAGGTATGAAAAAATATATCTCTTTCTACATTTACTTTTCTAACCAGCTCTGAATGAAGAAAGAACTTGTTTATAACAAACTATTAAGTTCAGCATTATTTAACTATTACAATGCAGTGTAATGTGTGCATATGTATTGCAATGTAAGAAATAAGCCATGTTTATCATGAAAAATACATGAGTTGTCTTAGGCTACATAGATACTGTATGTGCAGCAGGTATTAGTGTGTTGAGCACTTGTAATATACATAGAGCACACCCAGCACTCCCTTTAGACGATAATGTGTAAGTTAAAAGATATTAAATACAAAAAAAAGTAAAACAACTATTCTGAGACATTAAAAAATGTGCACCTACATGTTTATCTCCCTATCCTTATCCCCTACCAGATAATTAAAATATATAAGCGCAGTTCATACCTCAGGCAGTGTTGAGGGATAGGCATGGTACTCTATGCCTTGCCCTCTCTCTTCCTCTCTTTTTTTTAAAAATTTTTTATGTTATGTTGCATTCCCTACTTATACAGAGGTATAGGGTGGTTTCTTTCTGCTGACTAGTGTATTGAGATGACTGTTTGTACACAGGCTGATAAGTCCTCTGAAACTACCAATCTTACTGTTATGTTAACATGTGTATTCAACTGTTTTGGACTCTGTATGTATGCTCCTGCTCTATATACTAAATAAAAATATATTGTTAAAAAAAAATGTGCAAAGAATTCTGTGAAGAGCAGCAGGTTGTTACATGACAACACAGAAAAAGCCAGCTCAGTAAAGACATGCTCAGCTTTCAGTACTTACAGTATATGGATTATTGATTATATTCCTGCATATTGCTCATAATAGGCAGCAGTGGCGTAACCAAAGTTACGGGCGCCCGGGGCAGAATGGGGCGCCCCCCCACAACCATTATATCATCACCCCATCCATCCCAGGGATACTAACCTGATATAAGTAATTTCAGTGAGGTGCTGCCACAATACAGACATATAAGTCCCAAGAGTATAAATAACGATTATGCGGCGCTAAATAACCCTAGTGTAATTAATATTAATTGCAAACTATATAATTTTCAAAACATCTTAATAAAATTGTGCAAATAGTGGTGAAGAATAGTGTAACACAACCAACACATACACTATAGATAATTATAATTTATGTGACCAAAGACTGGATATATAAAAATCCAGATATGATTTTACATTAGTTAATGACAATCAGCACGGGTTCAGGAAAGACCGTTCCTGCCTAACTAACAAAAATAGTGACTTTTTTACATAACCAGTAAAAAAACTTCATAGAGTGATAAACGTGATAGTATCAATATAAATTCATAAATAGTCCTTCAAATCCAAAACATATAAAGTGCTAGTGCTTGGAGATCCTCCCAGTGTCACACACTCAGCGCATGTGTATCATTTTACACTTTGCAGGTAACCTGAAGTCAGTATTGGATCAAAAAGTTCTCAGTGTTTCTCCCAAATGTTTTAACGAATGATGTTTCACATGTTGTAAAAAGAATCAAAAGGAACTCCTCATAGTTCAGTATATCCCAAATGTTTATTGATAAAACAAAAGTAAAAACTCACATGTACATATAAGAGCGGCCGGTATCCCACGAGCTCCTGTGCTCACTTCCGCATTAGCTGTGACGTCTTGAAGAAATACTATATCCCCCGTCTAGCGCTTTCAATTCCCTATATAGGATGTGTCGTTTAAACGCTGTATTAAGACCACGGACATTATAGCTAATTATTTGTCCGCCATCGGGTTGCACAGCCACTCTCCTCCTCACTGTTTCATTTAGGGGTCTCCACACGAAGGAAGTGGGTAGATTGATATTGATGGAGGAGAGGAGAATGGGAGAAGGGGGGAGAGGGCAGACAAGGGAGAGTAGTATACATGGAAAGTAGAGGGAGAGAGACATAAAAAGAAAAGAAAAAGATCGGGGAAGGAGCCCCCAATCATGATCCTCCGTGTTACAAGACAAAAACACTGAGGTACCAAAACGTGTTCTCTTGGAACCATATACGCAATTTTCGGGGTACGTGGCAGGACCAAGGACGGCGCCGCCGGTCAAACCTGACCCTAGGCAGCCAGGGAAGCCGAGGTACTTAATCACTTCCGCAGTCACCAGGGCCGACACGCACCCGCAAAGTTTGTATCGCTAGCATTGCATTAACACAATTTATTTATAAACAGATATATTCACCAACGTCTCAATGGTAGTACATCCCGGTATCAGCCTGATGAAAGGGGCCGTTGTGACTCAGAACGAAAAAACATATGGGTTCTTCGGCACAAGTTCAGTTGAATAAGCAGTAAAACTAGATTTTGGCAAAAGAACCATAAAATGAGTAAAGTTAAGAGGGCGAGCAGTGTTCTTTCAAGTATTGCGTCGAGCAGACAGTGAGGTAGTGCCCACTAACCTCCACTGTTGATCAGGCAGCGATGGTAAGGAAGGTAAGATGTCACCCCATCCCGGTAGCTTCGGTACGGTGATATGTAGAAATTCACAGAAGGCTTCTAAGTCTTGAGGGAAGCGGAGGACTGACGTCTTGCCTTGTCTTCGGGCGATTAGGCAGGCCGGGAAGCGCCAAAGGTATTGGATGTTGTTAGAGCGGAGAAGCTCCAGCAGCAGACGCAAAGCCCTGCGTCTGAAAAGGTTTTCCCTAGCCAAATCAGGGAAGATTTGTAGGTGGGCGCCATCAAGATATGTGAACGGAGTCTCCTGGAGCTTCATCAAGATAGCTTCTTTGTCTGTGTGATAGTGTAGGCGGCATATCACATCTCTGGGTGTTTCGGTCTGTAGGCCCCGTGGACAAAGGGTTCTATGCACCCTATCGAACAAGAGGGGAGTAGCGGAGGCCTTACCCAGTATGGAGTTAAAGATGCCCCGCAGGGTGTCCGCCAGGTCGGGGTCCAAGATCGGCTCAGGGAGGCTCCTCACCCTTAGGTTGTTATGGCGTCACCGGTTGTCTTGGTCTTCAAGGCGGTATGAGAGGTCACTCTGCATCTTGGCTGCGGACTGAAGATGGGACTGCAGGGCTGTTATGGCAGTGGCGTGTCTGTCCAATTGGCTTTCAGTATCCTCCACTCTGTGGAGGAGGTGCGTGACCTCACCTCTGACCGACAGTATGTCGGCCTTCAGGGAGTTGTCAAGAGTACGAAACATATCTCCCAGGTCATGTTTAGTTGGAAGAGTGCATACTTATTCGTTCATCGGTACGGTATGTTGGGGCTCCCGCTCATCTCCGGTCTCCGACCGATGGTAAGGCGACTCAGGGTCTGGTCCTCGTGGTGACGAGTGCGTTGAGTGTGTGGCCTGTGAACTGGCCTGGAGTTGTAGTATCATCCGAGTCGGATCTCTATATTGCAGGTAGCGTGTTCAGAGCTCTAGCTAGGCACGTCTGAGCGCCGCCATGTCCAGCGGCTATTAAATAGCAGATTAGCTATTGCACCCGCCCTCTGCTGCTGTCAGTCAGCAGAGGTGGACCTGATGGAGAACTAATCTAATAGTGGGAGACTCCCGGAACGTCTGGGATAGTTGGGATGTCTGCCATCCTGTCCCTCTGGTTCTAAGGATAATTCAATACAATATACTGTACAGTAATGCAGAATGGCTCCAGCTATAGGACTACACATCCCAGCAATACACTATGCAGCAATGCAGAATGTCAACTGACTATAGAGGACTACAAATACCAGCTATGCATTATACAGTAATGGAGAATGGCACATGGCTACAATACAAAAGGACTACAAAACCCAGCAATACATTATACAGCAATGAAGAATGGCATCTGGCTATAGAAGGCTACAAATCCCAGCAATACATTTTAACAGCAATGGAGAATGGCATCTGGCTATAGAGGACTACAATCCCAGCAATACATTATACAGCAATGAAGAATGGCATCTGGCTATAGAAGGCTACAAATCCCAGCAATACATTTTAACAGCAATGGAGAATGGCATCTGGCTATAGAGGACTACAATCCCAGCAATACATTATACAGCAATGAAGAATGGCATCTGGCTATAGAAGGCTACAAATCCCAGCAATACATTTTAACAGCAATGGAGAATGGCATCTGGCTATAGAGGACTACAATCCCAGCAATACATTATACAGCAATGCAGAATAATATGAAGCTACATACTCTGTGTTGCTCACCCGTGCTGTGTGGGGTCTCAGGAGGCTGTGCATGGTCCCACTATATCTAGAAGCTCTGCGTATTTCCCAGGACTCCAGCAAAATTATGGGGAGGTGGGGAAGTGATGGTAGAGTAAGTACAATGCTGCGTATGTTACCTATAGGCCAAGTACTGTACAGGTTCACTTTAATAAGAATTTGGACCCTCAATACTAATGTAATTTAACATATTAATTGAAACATATCAGGAAAATAGTTAAACTCTTGGAAATGCCAAAGCAAGGAGAAAAAACTACTCTTGGCAGGATAAGGTTGACCAAAAATGTATTATTTAGTAAAATTGGGAGGTTGACAATAAAGAAACACTCTTCCAGTCCTGGCAGAATCCAATGAAAATTCAGCTCTAGGATGTTGTTGTTTTTTTTATAGGAATGTATACTGGACTTGTAAAAAATGTTTTCTTTATTTACTTTTTATGGTCAAATTCGAAAAAGGTAAAAAAAGAGTATATATTTGCTGTACTGTGTCTTTAATTAACCCATGGTCTTCTAAGACTCATTTGTGATGCATCAAAAATATAGTAAAAACAAATGTATAAAAAAGTTTAAATAGTTTAAAAAATGTTAAAATAAAATGGTCACAAACCAAACCAAAGTTTATGTTCAAGCCTTATCTTTCATTAGAGTTATTACAAAGTATCCAGCAGAAGCAAAAAGTTTCACAATATGTGACCATCTTTTTGAGAAGTGCCACATTTTTACATGGATGAAGATATGAGGTGTTCCATACAAAACTGTTCAGCTGCTTTTTTAATGGCTCTAATAAAAGATACATGAAAGAAACAGACAACCTAGAAAAGGATTTCTACTATTTTTCAGTATTGAAGGTCAGAGGCTTTATTGTCATCTTTTTTGCACGATAGCCTTTTAGTGATGACTGCTTCTTAAACTGTACAACTTGTACAACTATATATACTGCTCAGCAAGTGGCATTTGCCATTATACACCTAAATTGATTCTGTAACAATAGAAATATGGAAGTTTCTTTTGTGAACTCTGTGTTTTAATAATGCAAGGTCCAGATATGCCATCCTGAATCTAGCTTTGCTACCTGGGAGTCAGTGATTTGGAACAGTAGTGAAGACATCTAGTTTAGACTTTTCACACTCCATTAGTTGAATGCCTGTTCAAGGTCAATTATTTATTAGATGGTGAGGTGAGAATAATTTTTATAGCCCCAGAACCTGCACCTTTAAAAACAAGTGAGCAACAGCCACTCCTATATTTCTGTAATCACAGGGTCCTCCTATAAAAGTGACATTCAGGAGTTAAATATTAAAAATGCATTCAGGTGCCTTAACTATTAACAAAAATGTATCTTATTTGTGTATCACTAAGCTGTAGATTCTCAAATTATCTCTGAATTCATGCTGACACTTTCCTTCCTTCTGGAGGGTGGATATTTTTGTTACTCATGGTCCTTGTGTGTGTTGTAAAGTAGTCACTGCTCCAAGCTCACTCCTGTCATGGACTACAATCTCAACACAAATTAGTAAACTAAACGTGAGATCATAGACCATCACGGACGCGAATTAGAAGCAGTGGCTTCACAGGGACACAGAGACCATGTGGAAAAAAGTAGCCACCCTCCAGAAGGAAGGAAAGTGTCAGCATGAATTCAGAGATGATTTCAGGATCTCCAGCCAACTGATACACAAATAAGATACAGTTTTGTTAATAGTTAGGTTACCTGAATGCATTTTTAAGATTTAACTCCTGAGTTTAGTGTCACTTTAAAAAGCTTTCTAAAAGTCATTTTTGCATTTACTTTGGCATGCCCCATACCACGATACACAGATGGAGTGTGGTTGTGAGGCTCCCTACATTGTATTGTGGGATAGGAGGGGGTGAGGGTTGTATCCAATATCTGCAGTTCAAAGGCGCAGAGATTTCAGGTGATGGTGGAGCCACATAAACTGGATGACTAGGTTCCTGCTGTACTGACAGCTTATACTGACTTTGGCCATGAGCAAACAGTGTTACTTTAAATAGGTCATTCAGCCTGTACTGCTTTTTCCATATTATCCTATGCAGAATTATGAAAGGGGCATATGACTGATCATGATTTGTAAATTCTAAGACTTGACAAAAACTTTACTTTTGGAATCCCATGTGCTTTCACCAAGGGTGGGAATTATGGGCTAAAAGTCAATTATATGGTCAGCTGATGGGTACAGGCACACATTTTGCTGAATGCTTTAAGTTCACTTACAAAAATCTATATTTTTTAAATGTCAGCAGTCAACACACCTGCCATGTACGCACATCATACACTGATGGTGATGAAGGTGACACCTGGTTTTAACAAGCTGGCCATTCACTGAGGCACTGATATGCCAATACACATTCTGAATGCTTCCTAAGCTTACCTCCTACAATGAGTGTAACTCCAGCTATATAACAGATTTTTAACTTCATTTGTGATTCATCTGTCAGGAATTTTACACAATCAAGCCCCAGGAGGAGGAATATGAAGCCAAATGCTGCCAGAATATCTGCAGTTATCATGAAGCCACGAGTTGCCACTAATTTCACTGAAAAACAAAGACAAAGGGAAAACACATTACCAAATAGTATAAAACCGTTCATTAAATAGCAAAATGTTACAAGTAAGCAACAACCAAACACAATAATTACATTGAATGTGACTAACCCCTTTGTGACCTGTGAGGCTTTCAGTATCACCTTCAGTTTGACTGGGTTTTTAAAAAAAACTAAGAAAACAAATTTTATAGCTAAGCAGTTACCATTCAGGAAGGTTTTCTGTGGTGTCCTCCTTGAGCTAATTCCACTCAGATAGACTGACTGTTTTTAACCACTGTTGTAACAGCATATATTTATGACAAAGAAGTGCTAAAGCAACTCTTCTAAATTAGATTCATTAGTTGATGGCATTATTGTTGTACATACATGCACTGTATGTAGTTACACAGGAGGGTGCACAGGCAGACGACATAGAACTCTATGATGCGGGAAGGCCCACCTCATCTGGGCATAAATCCATCTTTGGATACTAAGGGGTAAATAATACAAACTGCAACCTCTACACTCTGTTCTTCGCTACTGATATATTGCACTTTAGAAAATTACAGTAAATTTGAAGTGCGTTTACAGAAGGATGGTTAGAGGAATAGGCTGGAAGTGGGCCAGTAGACTGAGCAAGAGGAGGATGGAATGGGATTATGGCTTGTACTTTTGGAGATGCAATGACTTTGAATTGTTACACAGGAGTGTCAGTGGCTAAAATAAAGCTTTTAGCTTGAGTTGATGGTGGTTATTAAAAGGAAACAGGGTCAAAGGCGCAGAATCTAAGGAATTCAACGTCTTCTTTCCAGAAAGAGAACAAGTGTTGTGCTGTGAAAATGATTCTGAAATGACCTAGAGTTCAGTGAATAGCTGATTGATATGGCCTCTCAAATAATGTGAACACCCATCATTCAGCGCAATAGTCAACTTCACACAAAGAGTTACTATAAATACAGAAAACTGATGGTTCATCTAAGTTAAATTACATGATATCATCTCAGTTCGGTTTGCATCACCTTAAAAGGTCAGTTCAAACAAAAGTCATATTTCTGTTTTTGGTAGATACTGGAAAGTTAACAAACCTGATTGTTTCTTGTAGCTCTTGGGTAGTCTGTTTTTGAGATATCTGCACTTCAGTTCCTAGGTTGTGTAACTGCTGTGGCCATTATGAAGATGAGCCCTTTATCTCTGTTGTATTTTATATTTATTTTTTATCATGGAGAATGCAAATAGAGGTAGTGAAACACACAAAGGTGGATGGGACATCTAAAATTCCCAGGTGCACAGAAACACAGTGGGGAATTATTGCAGAGAGTTAGAGATTTCTGTGGTGGAATATCCAATACATATAAAGCTAAAGGATATAACAACCCACCAGACTGCATCTCTAAATAAATATCACTTCTAAGTGGAATGACCCTTAAAACAAGTATCACTGTTGGTTTGTTCAGTAAGATTATACAGAAAAAAACAAAAATACCAAACCATCAGAATAAAGCTTCAACTTAGCTCACCTAAATTAACTTAATATTGTTACTTGCTATATGAATAATACTTGTATTATCAATAACCTTTTGCACAGTAAACACTTGTTGTCATTGTAAAACTTATTTTGTTTTATTTTGCTTTGAAAATAAAACATATTTCACTTTTTTTATTAAGTTTAGCAGTCAAACTGCTAAAAGATCTACCAAACCTAAATCGAAATAGAAATGTTCTGAGCAACAGGTTTTCTATCCTGCTTCGCATGTGGTATTAAGAAAATCTTGATTATTGGCCATATTGGTATATGTGGACATAAGCAGAGGTCTATAAAAAAGCCACTACCTATTCACTTACCTGTTTGAGACCATAGTAATAAAGGTTAATAGCGCAAATCCTAAACTTTTTGTATGGCATGTTAAAGAATGAAACAGGCTGCTTTTTGAAGAGGTTCCTCAGAAAATAAATCTCGGTCTCTTTCTCACAAGATGTGGCTGCTTCCTAATTTACAGCCTTCTTCTCACTATGGTGAGTGTCAAATGTGTGCTATGCTTAAAGAGAACCAGTCATAGATGGCATTAGTGAGAAACTGAGGGGGTTATTCACTAAAGAGTGAAGAGTTTGGAGAAGGCAGGAGAAGTGAACAATCTAGGCCAAAATAGCCGATTTGGAACAATTATTCAATTCAGCTCACATTCTAGTTCACTTATGTTGTCCTAGATTGTTCACTTCTCCTGCCTTCTCCAAACTCTTAACCTTTTTGTGAATAACACCCCAACTACTTTTAAGTTGCTGTAATAACATAGCTTTGCTCTTTCATGGGTATGTGTGTGTTTTTATTATTTGCGTGCATTCTCTTCCTGTCATAGCAGAAGTGTCATCTCAGCATCAGACTGTTAGGCCCCAGTGGAAATCGACCTGCTTCCTACTTGAGCTCAAGGCTGAGAAGTGACAGGATTTCAGCTGTGCTGCTGTAGGAGGGTAAAACTATCAGTTTAAAGTTTTACTTCTTTGTAATGTGACAGTTTATTGAGTGTGCGTTATCAACGTTGAGCTAAAGTAGTAGATAGGACAGCCTTAAAGCCTGATACTTCTGCTCTGACATAGAGAAAAGAGAAATTAATGATAAAAAAATCAAGTAATACCTGAGAGATAAGGATTAACCATTATAAGAAACCTATGAGAGGATATTGATATTACAGATAACTTCCTGTATTTAAAAAGTATAGTAGGAAATTTCCTATGACCATCGGAAGCACTGTATTAACCCTTGTATTTATTTGATGTTTTTTCAATTAAGTAGGATGCAGCAATAAAACTTCCTAACTAACATTAATCTTACAATTTAGAGGGAAAATGGGAAAATAAATGTATACATCTTAGGATAGGATATGTGGATTCCTCCTTGAAGTTCTGAATTTTAGAAATAACTTTGACAGCAAACACATAGCTTACCACTGCACCTATTTTCCAACCCTAAAGGACAATTTTGGCTGTAGCTCAGAACATCAGAGATATTCACTGTATTGCTCGAAGCGGCAGGCTTAATTCATTGATCTGCCAATCAGCAGGTCTGGCATTCACTGAAATTAGATGTCTGATACAAATAAAATTTGTCACCACTGATTATGATAGAGTGGCTTTGCACTTGGGAACCTTTATTCAGTTCAATCCAATCCACTGCACCACACTAATTTGAAGTACTACAATTTGAGGGGATGTAAATGAAATTGTCTGAGACCTTCTCTTCCAATCCACAAAGTGATTTGTGGTTTTTTGTTGCTGGTTTAATAAATCTTGAAACCTGATCTCTTTAGATGTGACATACACATAATACAAATACAAAGGTGACAGCTTTAATTCAAGTACCGCATACCTTTACTAATGCATTACCTGATTAATCAAACTCAAGGCAAATTTAATTTTAACTCAGGGTGTTACTGAGGTTTATAGATATAAAAATCAATACAATTAAGTAAGTAAATGTATATTTACAAGATAGCATACAGACAGTTGGTGAATATAAATGTATGAATTTAAAATAGCAAGGCAAACATATTCCGTTATCTTCTTTTTTACATTAACCACTTTAGTCCTGGCTGCCATTTTAAAACAGGAATGACAGAGGATATTTGTCCCAGCGCTGTTTTAAAACAGCACCCAGTGTCAGATGGTCCTGCAAGTCCCTTCGACATGTAAGGTCGGAACCGCTGGCTGTCAGAGACAGCCAGGGCCCAGCACTGAGCCCATGAGCAACAACGATCATCAATTGGGTTCACGATACTTCTACAGATTACTCCATAGGAGCATGCTGTAAAAGAGAACGTAAACACAATACTTCTGCATTGTGTTTACATTGGGAATGTCGTGATATCACAAGTGATGTTACGGCATTTCCAGTTAGTACAGAGGTCAGGACCGAGCTGTTGTAGCTCTGTCCGGACTCTCCCTGCAGCAATAGGCCACCACTTTACTGATCTATTGGTGGCTGATCGTGTGTGATCTGTTGTTGCACAACTGCATGGGGGGGTCTGAAGAAAAAAAGGAAAAAGTGTAACTATCAGAAAAAACACTGTGTATAAATATACTGTGTATATATATATATATATATATATATATATATAAACACTGCACTGTTGCCCTTCTGTTGTCTTGCCACTCTCCGTAGCATGTTTAGAAGAAATAGCCATCAATGGCTGACTGCTCCTTTCTTAAAATGCAAGTTGTCTGCTGGTCATAATGATGCTTTGGATTCAGTATTTTCTGAGTCACTTGCTTCAAATAAGTATAGTAATTTTCTGACTTTCATTTGTTGCATACTTGCTCTGAGTCTTTTATCTGAGTCTGAGGCCAGCATTTATCATGTCAGTAGAAGGTAATCTGTGTCTGTGCCCTCCTCATCATCACTACTGACATCAGACACCGAAAACAGAAAGAGAAAACAGTTATAATATGCTGCGGGGTCACATGTCCTTATTTTTTTGTATTCTTTCACTTTCACTTGTGTATGACTGTAGCGCCATGGGGATCTCCATAAACATGAAGGGTTGAGGTATAAAGGCTTCACCTAGCTATAAACACTACTCACATGGCATTATAGCTGCTAGATGGAGCTAGATGATCATAGGAATTCCCTATGCTCCTCGGTGCCAACTAGCTGCTGTAATGCCATGCAAACAGCACTCTCCCATCTATACGCTGGGTGAAGCCTTTATAGATCAGCCCTAAAATTATATATATATATATATATATATATATATATATAAAAAGGCATTTGACGTACATTGGAAGATAACAAATGCCCTATTTCTAAATCTCATTTGCCACACATACTGTATATGCAAAACATATTCACCAGCTTTTGTTCTACAATAGAATAATGGGAAAAATTACTTACTGTAACACCTTTCCCATTAATATTAGGCTGAATGTGACATTTACTGCACATTCATTGTACATTTACTTCTAATCTGTAGATTCTCTAGGTACATATGGCAAACCTTTAATGGAATTAATGATGTAGATTTAACAGTTTCAGCACTTGGAAAGTTAACACATTTTTAGGCATTTCTAATCCTTAATGACACCTTCTCCTGAGTACTGGGGGTGTCAAGGAGCATGGATTCATTAGCATTGAGTCCAGTGATTTGGGAGAGGCTCCCTTTTTTGGGGACCCCTCTCAAAGCAGTGAACGAAGTGTGGGCTGGTATCAGCATGGCAGAGGGTTGCAGTGGACAATGGTTTTTGCATAAGTAATCTACTATCTCAAGCTGTGAATGTACAAAGAATAGTGTCCAGTGAACTTTGGTGATTGCACAATGAGTTTAACATTTTTCCTCTAATAAATAGAATAAATGTTACAATACTACCTCTTCCTAGTGAAGAATTGGGGCTTGCAAATGTCAGCAAATATTTTTTTACCTGGGAAATCTGTCAGCATGCCTAAAAATAGGTAATTGTTACTTGGCAAATATACAGCAAATGTACAGTGAATATGCAGAAACAAAATCTTTAAAACCCACTAGTGTTTTGTCCACTGGGATACTGTTGTCCAGATGCAAGTAGTAATTCATGCAATACTTCTTACATTTATAAGGCAAAGGAGGAAAAAAAGCTAAACATACATACAATACTAATTCCCATCCAAATCCACAAGGTGGAGTTATTTGTTAACACTATAAATCATTTACGGGGACAAAATATGTGGACATGTAATATTTCAATTACAAAACAATATGATAACTGCATTAAGTCCTCTCAACTGCCGGCCAGTATTATCATGCGTACCAACTTACCTGGGTGCTCTGCGTATAAGGAGTCGTACTCATCACAGGTCCGAATGCCATCAAACACATTAGTTACACATTCCCACCACAGTCCACGGCATTTAGTACTCACCTTTATTTAGAAAAACAAAGGTTAAGCAATTATTCTGTACAGATCAGCAGTAGGTATTTACTTCTTTGAAGTGTACATAGCAGATAGTTATAAAATCTGATGTAACCAAAAGGAACCAGTTAGATTTTGAATTGATTAAATAGAAGTAGATTTTACATTTTACTTGTTCTGCCATCCCAGTTAATGGGGAAACCTAATATTGTAACACAACCACAATTTTTCAAAATTCATAGTCATGACACTGAAGTAAACTAATTGGTTTAATTGTACCCATGGTCAAAATGTAAACTCATATATTCATGATGTATTCCTTTTTCACATTAATTTTTCGTTATTTCTAGCCTACGCCTATTACTCTAAACGATCTTAAAGTCTGGAAACATACTTTCTGAAGAATTCTACCCATTTACTTAATAAATGCAGTGACACCTGTTTGCTATGCTATGTGAGTATGTATTGTTGTGTCACCCATTTCATAGAGTCTGCTGCTGAACTACAGAGGTGCTGAAGAGGAGGAGTTTTAGTAACCACATCATGACTGTTTGCAGGCACCAAGGTACCGTGGGATATGTAGTCTTTCGAAATTGAAAGTAAACCAAAATAATGAGCAGAGGAAGATCCACAAAGCATGCAGGGTTTCCAGGAAGTTGTTGAAAGAGATGTCCAGCAGGTAGGTAGAATTTGCGTGAAAGGGGATTTTTTAAAAATACGTTTATATTGGATTATCAAAAGTAACTTTTGTTTGTATCTCTTTTACAATGGTGATATTATAAAATTAAACTGTAAGCTGTGACTTTAGATCTCTTGTAGATCTCCTGTGGCCCTTTCACTGCTGGCCAACTAAGGCTTATGTTGATAGCAGCACAGGTTTCTCAACACACTTGTGGCTGCTATAACAGACAGCACTGTGTTCAGCCCATAAATGCCAACTGTTGGCTTTGTATTGGAAGTGATTACAGCAGCTGTACAGCCATCTGATAATTTGCATGGGCTCTTGGACGTGCACCCCCTACCGCCATGTATCCTGGGCTTGTTTACTCTTCTTGCAGGCCTTGGACCGCCATAGCGGGTGTTGGTGTCAATATGAGAGGGAGATCAGTGAACATGGTCTCTCCTGTTTATGAACCTTGTATATGAATTAATTTGTCACTTCCGGGTTATCAGATGTCATAGGTGACAGGTTCATTATAGGCAACAGGTCCATTTTAAGGTGGCATTAGGGGTCTAACAGACCCCTAATGCCACCTTAAAAAGAACCTGCCACCTATAATATGCTATGATACAGAGGGCTGCTATCCCATTATGGGATAACAATAAACTTAAGTAAAAAAACTAGTTAAAAGTTTTAAAGCTCCTTGCCCTTATGTACATGTGCATACATACCTAAATGTGTTTGTCGGATGGGCCTACATGCAAAAATAACAATTGCATCGCACGTTACATATCGCCGCATTCACCAAAATGAAAGAAATTATTCTAGGGCCACTAGCACACACTAATGGGTCTATTTATAAATAATCTACAGGGCCCTTCTCCCCGTTAATCTCTGTGAATGTTCGTTCTGTGCCAATAAAGGCAAAAACTAAGTTTTTAATATATTTTCTTTTCTTTATGAATGTACCATTAGTTAAATACCACATTATGTTCACCGGATGGAGCTGAGGCAATAGGAAATGTATATTTATATTCTATGCTCCTCAGTTCCATCTAGTTGCTATAATGTGATATTTCACTAATGGTACATTCAACCTGCCAAGAAAATGTATGAAGAACGTTTGTTTATGTCCAATGCACATAGAACAAACGTTCACTGGGTGAAAGGCTCTGCAAATTGTTTATAAATAGAACACTTTACAAGGTTTTGTTCCTACATGAGATGTGCATGCAAAGTATTATGTTTTAATGTAAAGTATTGGGAAAAAAACATACATGCAGAGGGAGCGCAGTTTTTTGCAAGAGCAAAATAATGATCTATAATTTTGTACTTTTTTCTATCATATATGATTGGATATCAATTAAACAGCACTATGTCACATGTATAAAATGTATATGAATATAGTTAACAAGAAAGTCATGCAAAGAAAAAAAAATTTTCGTGCAATAATAATTTCAGCTCAGTGGATACCATCATGTAAACTGCACAACAAACAGTGAATATTGATGCTTTAATATGCATCCTGTTGTTAGATATGCTGCATAATGACTGCATTGGCTGACTCCATCACATTTTATTCATCCCTTCACAGCAGGTGTGTTAAATAATGCTTCTCTGGTGTAGCCTGCTACTCCACAGAATCAATAATTATATTGCTTACTGCAGCAAATGAACACATTCTAATCCAAGCATCTTGATAAAATTAGTGCTGTAAATATAATAGCTAACTGGCAGAATTCAATGTTAGCTAAAAAGAGAACAAACTTCCTTTGTGGTTTCTTATATTTCTCTGTGGCTCTGCAGGAGCTGTATGGCCATGGGTCATTTACTTGCCTCTACATAGCGAAAGAGTCTCTGAGGTCATTAGGCATGGAAGGAAACCCACTCTATCACACATTAATGCCCCAGGCTTGTTCTTGGAGAGCCTGGCATTAATTCCAGTTTCAGTTACGTGAGAATAGTTGCTGTCATTAACTAAGCACCCTGCTAATGAGGCACTTACATCCAACAATTCTTAAAAGGTGCCTTTGTCTATAGCAGGCAAGGTGACTACATAGCTATACAACTGATCATAAGAGAGTTCAAATAGGTTGTGCAGATATATAATAATTTTAGCTTTTTAAAGTGCATGTAAACGCTGATACTTGCTCTTATTTGCTCTCTTTTTGTGTGTTAAATATACAATCAAAAGCATTTTGTGTTATCTTTTCAATAAGGGCAAAAAACAATATGTGTTGATCTTGCTAGAAATGCAAAAAAAAAACCGTCACATAAACTTTGTACTGCACTGAAATCTGAAGCGCTTTTATTAGCCCCAACCAGTTCACCTCTGTGAACTACAAAACACCACCCTCATATGTTATGGCTATGAGGAGAGAGGAGATGGTTAACTGTATTTAACTATAATGTCTGTCTTATATTCTAAAGCACTTTGCAAACTGTTGGAGCTATAAATCCTGTATAGTAATAAATGTCCTACTGTACTCCCTGCCCTAGGGTAAGAACACTGCTCCTATATAGATACAGTACTGTGAGTATTGTCACCATAGAACAGGAAGTGTGTTACTGGCAGGATCACCAGGTGAAACAAAGGAGAAAAAGCCTGAAAACTAAGGAAGTCACTACATCCAAAGACTGGTAAGCTGCAATATATCAGATTTTTGTTCTTGGGTTTAGGTGCACTTTTTTAGCTGGTATTCACAATGTGCAGGATACCTGGATGCTGAGCTTCATTATTACTGATATATTGCTGACCATGAATGAACAGGTAACAACCCAAATAATAAACCTTGTTACTAGAGGCTCAACCAGCAAAGAACAAATAGTTGAATGAGAATATACTTTATTGTTTACAAAATGTAACATCAACTCTGTTAAAGAAGGAGTAGCAGTGATGCTTGGGCCCCCTATTCTCATGAGCCCAGGAACTGCTGAACCACCTGGACATTCTAGATCAGAATTTTGCAACCTTATTTCACTAACGGCACCCTTTAAAAGTATGCAAAATATTGAGGCACCCCAGTCTAAAATGTAAATTTTTTTTATGTAAAACGTGTGACCACTCCATACCAGACACAGATAGGGGTCTGGTATGGATTTTAAGGGAAGACCCCGCACAGAAATGCGGTTTCCCCTTTACATTAGAGTCCCCCTGTCAAATCAGGAGCCACATTTACATCAGAGCTCTCCTACCCTTTCACACCAGAGCTCCCCCTTTACATCAAATCCCCCCTTTCATATCAGAATCCCCCCTTTCACATCAGACTCCGCCCTTCACATTAGAAGACTGTCAACACCATGCAAAGGCATGACGCTGTGTGAACATTTTTAATGCCATTCCTCTCACACATGCACTGTGCATCAATACACTCGTTTGTTGATAGACCTTTTTCAGTGAGATCTTGGGAGATCCTTTTTTATGAACAGATGAGTGTATTGGCACACGGCGCATGCAAGGGAAGTCATGCACATCATGTCACACATGCTCTGTGCTCCAGTATACTAATCTGTTGATTAAAACAATACTTTTCCCCCAAGATTTCAGGAGCAAAGGTTTTTTTAACTTTTATTTTTAACTGATGATTGTACGGTACACACACAAGAGATGGTGCAATGTCATTAGTGGGCCAATGAGGTGTTTTGTTTTTTAAATAGCTGCACAGAATTCCAATTTGTAGGGGACATATACTTAGGGTTGCCACCTGTCTGGGATTCCCCCAGACAGTCCGGGTTTGGAATATTGTACCTGGGTGTGAGCCACCTCACACACTTGGGCACATTATTTAAACCAGACTTGGTGGTAGGCGACGGACGATGAGCGGCGGCGCTGTCTTCAGTCCCTCAACTCTATCTCCCTCACTCCCTTCCTCTGTTTCTCCTTCACGCCTGGGACTTGGTGAGCCAGGGGAAGTGACATCAGGGAGAGAGCAGAGAGGGTGAAGTCATCAGCTGGTGTGGAAGGTCTAACTTTTTAAAATATAAATTGAAAGGGGGGGTGGGTATTTGGTATAACAGTTCATTATGACATGTGATATTGTGAATAGGGGCCCTGTTGCTTTGGCTGCCCAAGCACCCCTGGAGGTGTTAGGGCCAGTTCACACCAATTGTGGTGCGTTCCAGAGTGGTAGCTGCTGGAACGCACAGCAATCGCACACTAAACTCCCCCCTTCGTTGTGGGGCGGGAGGGTCGTGGCGTGTGTATTGAAGTCAATGGCACCGCTGCCATGCCCCCCGTCCACAGTGCGATCAGATGCGTGGCAACACACTGCCTGCGTTCCGGTCCAAACAAATTCTGTATGTTCTATCTTTTTGTGTTCGGATTGAACCAGAATGCAGGCAATATTTTGCCATGCGTTCAATCACACTGCAGTCGGGGGCCGTGGCTGTGGTGCCATTGACTTCAATGCACCGCCACCCCTCCTCCAGCCCCAGAATGAAGGGGGAGTTTAGTGTGTGATTGCTGTCCGTTCCAGCAGCTACTGCTCCGGAACGCACCGCAATGGGTGTGAACTGGCCCTTATGATTTTTACCAACCTCTGTTGCTCTTGTTTCTCAGCTTTGTCTGCATCTAAATGCAGATAAAAACATAACTCAAATAAAAAAAACCCCCAGAAAAACAATATACTGAATACTATCATTAAATGTATTAACCTCCCACAGTAGGGTATTCACTCGGACAGTCTGGGTTTAGAATCCTGTGCCCAGGTGTGAGCCCACCTCACACCCAGACACATTATTCATTATTATATTGTGGCTAGTACCTCGCGACAGGTGGCGGGTGCCGGGCGGCGCTGTCCCCAATCCCTCAACTCTCCCTCCCTCTGCTTCACCTCTGCGGGTGGGACTGGGTGGGAGGAAGTGACATCAGGGAGAGAGCAGAGAGGGAGAAATCATCCTCTGGCAGCTGGCATGGAGCACTTTCGTCTGGGATTGCAGTTTGCTTAATAACAGGTATGTATTAAATTAACTATCAATTGAAATTGGGTGGGGGTGGGGGGTTGGTATAACACACAAAACATGCCCCCATAAAAAAATGCTATACATAACCTGTGACATCTTTTGTGGGGGCATCTTTTATGTGCAATAGTACATATCATCCAATACAGATGTCACCAGCACTAAGATTCCATGTTAGTGCAAAATCCATTTTATTGATAGTTGTCATTCAAATGACCAGCGTTTTTGGGGCCGTGCGAGGTCCCCTTCATCAGGCTCAGAAATCACATAGCATAAAAGTACCACAACTTTTATATAAACATACTAGAATGTCAATTCTGAGCCTGATGAAGGGGACCCTGTGTGGCCCCGAAAGTGTCTGTAGTTTGAATGACAACTATCAATAAAATGGATTTTGCACTAAAATGGGATCTTGGTGCTGGTGACATCTATATTGGAGTTCTGTTGTGAGCAGCGCCATCCACAGTCATTACGAGCGACCGTTACTTTTGGGATATCCGGTAAGGAGCGCGTCAAGGTATATGGATACTGCTTTGTATAGCACATATCTGGGGACCTGTGGCACACCGGCAAGTTGTGAATAACTTCATATGATTTGTGATACATTGTGATTAACTCCAATGTTATTTAATCACAAAATACATGCATAGTCTATACTTTACAAAAAAATTTACGCTAGGCGCTACAGTGTTCGGGTTTGGCTTGCAGAAAAGGTGGCAACCCTACATATACTTCTAAGACTGGAGAAAAAAGGAAGCAGGTAAGTACTACTAACTAATTAGTTTTATCAGGTAGATTGTAAAAGTGTAGTTAGATTTCATGGGAGGGAAGGTTCGCTTTAACAAAGAGCAGACTTCTTAGTGCAATTCCAGTGCAATTTCTGGGTCTGATGTCTTATGCATTGGCTTACTAAATAAGCCAAAATACTGTATCCCAGAGCAAACATGTTTTATTTTATTATTCTGACTGATCTAACTGAGGAAGGTTATTGCACTTTGCATATCATCATTGTTCTTTGCATTTCTGTATTAAGTAAGTCTGATATTTAGGTAAAGCTTAAAATAAAAATGTCAGAGTTGAAAAAAGATGACAGCGGTAAAACCTTTGCGTTAGTAAATCGCCCAGCCATATGTCTAACAATACTGAATCTAAGTATATCTAAAGGATAAAACGATTGGACACATGATTGCTTTGGAACCGGATCTCATATTTTTCCTGTATTATAGAGAGGCTTCTCACTACAAAAACATACTTCTAAATTCCTTGATTATTATGCTTTCTTTGGAACGAATGTTTACACTGTGTGGACAAATAAAGAAAAGCCAGGGTAGTGAAAAAATGAAGAATGGATAGATCTGTGTTTATTTACCCAAAAATGTAGCCCAGCTGCTTCTATCCTAAACCATAGTCTGTAGTCAACAAAATATCTGTTGTATTTGCAATATGCATACATGACAAATCAAACTGTTTTTATTATTATGTTTAAAATGTGAAAATAAAATTACATTTTTCTAAGGGTCTTGTACCTTAAAAATTTATTTATTTTTGTGTTTTATGTAGCGCTGACAAATGACACAGTGCTTCACATACTGCACATTCACACCAGTCCCTGCCCTTGTGGAGCTTACAATAATCTCATGTGCATACAAGGCCACTTTACCTTTCAGCATGTCTTTTGGAATGTGGAAGGAAACACACACAAGCACAGGGAGAACAAGCAGACTCTTTGCAAATAGTGTCCTGATCAGGATCTGAACTGGGGATGTCCAATGCTGCAAGGCCCCCAAAAGTTATATACCAATGGGGTGAAGCACAGTGGCTTAGCTATCCACTGTGACACTGTGCTTCCCCAATTGGTGCATAACTTCCATTGCTAAGCAATAAACACTGAGTACCTATATATGGAAAAACAAATATATAGATATTTGTCATTAAGTGCGATGATTTGGGTAATACAATGCCACTGCCAGCAGTGGTGATTCTTTATTATATTCGGAGACTGTGTGGTTGATTATTAAAGCAGTAGAGTAAGTTAACTACGTAAATAAGGAAAAGCAATGTTCTGTTTGAAAAAGAAAAAAAAAAAAAGGCTTTTGCTTGCACATATGGAGAGATTGAAGGGGGCACACTAAGCTAATTGAACAGTTACTTTGTAAAGTTAACACACTTTATAAATTGATCATGGGCCGTTCATTTTGTAAATAAAGCACACTGTTTAGAAATGTAGGCTCATTTAATAAATTAAAGAGTGATGTGCAAAGTAATTAATCGTAATATAATAATCCTTTTGTATGGCATAGTATTGTAATTATACTACCTCCCTATATGTTGTAAAGCGTTGCGCAAACTGTGGGCACTATATAAATCTTGTATAATAAAATAATAATAATAATAAAAATAATAATCTTATAAATACATGTTTTCACAAAACTCATGGTCCCTATGAGATACTGTATTTGTGTGTCGTCATTGAGCCTTGCACTACCAAATAAACAATGTTGTGTCTACTACTACCCAGTATATATACAACACTTTATAGGAACAATTTGAATTATATTAAGCTTCTAAAATGGTTAAGGGCTCAGGTCTGGAAATAGTGATAGGATAGTTATTTCTTGAGGTCATAAAACGTTTTTACCTCCAGGGAGTCATCTGCATTTTCCATCCAGCAGTCAGTCCAAGTTGCAACAATAAGGAAGCCAGCAGACACAAATGCTAGGCAAAACCCCACATACTGGGATAGGGTCCGTAATATACCAAAATTGGCACTTGAGGAGGATGCTTCAGCAGACTTCATGTGTGCGGTGAATGCCTTAGAAACTTTTCTTTATGGTCAGTATGTATAACAGTATAAGGATACTGATCGATGTGATCCAGGGCAAAACAAGTTGGCAAATGAGGCAGCTTTGTAGGTTCCTCTCCTTTAGCCAGTCTATAATTCCTCAGATCCCTGAACACCACTCAGTAAGGTCAGCCATGATGTACTGCATTTGTGCAGGAAATCTAGGTACATTATAAGTATGGTTAGTTGAATGGGGGATAATTAAAAACAAAGACGTTCCCATTACAGAGATCAGTTAATCATTGACTGGCTGCTGCATGGCCTTATAGGTGCATTGGTTTTATGCTGTGACAAGTTGAGTTCAGCTGATCTACATGACTGAAGAAATTAGTCGGAAATGAAACTTCGCAGTAAACCAGCAAAATAGTCTGGTTAAATAGTAAACAACATCAAATACATAGAAACAATAAGACCAATGACAATAATGTAATTTTTGTACGATGACAATGCTTGTCTTCTTGCTAAGTGCTTTAAAGTCACCTCTTATATCTATGCCATTCTCTCTGCATGGAATATCCACAGAAATCTGTGATGACTAATTCTCTTTTTTTTTTTTTATATAACAGGCTTTCTTTTCTTTAAAGGCTAAAAATCAGAATACAATCTTTCTTTATGCAAAAGTAGGGGTTGTTAGATGATGTTTGCAGTATTATCAATCAACATCCACATGTCCTCATGTCCTCTAATATGTGAGGTAGTAAAAAACAGCAATTTTGTAAGTATAAGCTAAGGAGATAAGGTTTCTATTCGGTGTTGCTGAGTGCTTGTTGTCACAGGGTTCGAAGTGACCTTTAGGTGCATGCAAATAAATACATCACAACTGGATAGAGCCATGTGGGGTGGACATTATATATGGATGCTTTCAAGTAAGGTGACCTTAGAAGCTCTTACAGTTAATTCCAACTAGGAAGTGGCCCTAGACACTTTTCGGAGCTAGACTGTAAGTACCAAATGTGTACATTTCTGAAGCATTTGAAAGGGAAGCTATCCTATTCGTCCCTTCCATGTCTCTAACATTCCTCATCTCACAATGCTGTGTTTCTGTAAGACCATGCCTAACGGCAGAGTTACGACAGCGCATGCGCATAGGCCTGTTCACCACATTTGCGGGAAGCAGTGGCTACTGCGCATGCTATTGTGCATGCACATGGCGCACAGGAAGTGACTTGCTCTGTCTGGGAATGATCCTATTTACGCTGGCCCAACTCCCAGGATCTTTGCTGAGTGGTCTTTCAGCTTTAGTGTGTATTCCTGTATCTTGCCTGTTGCCATATCATCTTCGACCGGATTCCTTGACCTTGCCTGATTGCCGCCTGCCTCCAACTTCTGCTTGTCCCTGGATTCTCCTTTGCCTTCTCCTTTTGTACCTTGCTGCCCGATTGTTGCTGACCCTGGCTTGCCTGACTCCGCTCTGCTCCAGCCGCATCAGCACCTGCTTCCTGCTTCACTGAAGACGGGCCTCAAGGACCTGCCCAGGCACAGTGTCCTGCATCGTCCGGCACCGGTGCTGCCCGTAGTTTCCCCACCTCCTGTCTCCACATTCAGGGGTGTGGAACTCGTGCTGCAAAGGAGGCCTCCTCACAACTCGGCCTCCTCACAATAGTACCACTCAGCCAAGATGTCGGAAGCCGAGGGGAGTGCCTCTCCGATTGAGCTTTTTTGCCAGCAAATAGCCTCCCTCACTCAAGTGGTGACGAGTTTGCAAGAAGGATTCTTTCAACTTGAAGGACGCATGACAACCATGGCAGCTTCAATACATACTCCCCAGGTGGCCGAACCTGCAGTCTCCGCACCTGCACCCGACGTCTCTACTTCCTCAGCTCCTGAACCCCGGGTGCCCGTTCCAGAGCGGTTCACGGGAGATCGCACAAAATTCCGTGCGTTTAGAAACGCCTGTCGTTTATATTTTGCCTTATTACCTAGAACATTTACATCCGAAGTGACTAGAGTGCGGTTTGTCATCTCGCTACTTTCTGGAGAACCCCAATCATGGGCACATCATCTTCTGGAGAAAGAGAGTTACGTGTTGAACTCCTTAAATGCCTTTTAAGATGAGTGGAAGACGGCGTTCCGTTCCCATTTTGGGCACTTTGAGTACTCAGTAATGCCCTTCGGGCTCTGTAACGCCCCGGCAACTTTCCAACATCTGGTCAATGACGTGTTCCGGGATTTTTTGGATCTGTTTATGATCGTGTATCTGGACGATATCAGCTGTATCGTTTCCGACAGAGGAGTCCAGTTTACTTCCCGTTTCTGGAGAGGGCTCTGTGCAGCACCATGCATTGCCAATCATTTTTCTTCAGCTTATCATCCTCAGACGAATGGCCAGACAGAGCGCAAAAATCACACCTTGGAACAATACTTACGCTGCTTTTCTTCCTTTTCGCAAGACGATTGGGCGTCCCTCCTGCCTTTTGCTGAGTTTGCATATAACAACTCTGTGCATTCTGCCACTGGCCAATCACCCTTCTTTGCCAACGTGGGATTCCATCCACCCTTTCCTCCCTTGAAAGGCTTGGCCTCTCCAGTTCCGGCGGTACATGAAAGGGTGTGGTTCCTCCGGTCCTATATCAAGATCCTGCAGGATTCTATTGCCAGAGCGCAGCGCTCCAACAAGCGCTACTTTGATAAGAAGAGATGGGGGGATTTGGATCTGCAGCCAGGAGACAAGGTCTGGTTGTCCACGCTGAATATGAAAATGGCTTGCCCCTCTAAAAAGCTTGCCCCGAGGTTTGTGGGACCATTTCCTGTCAAGCGGAGGATCAATCCTGTGGCCTATGAACTTACCTTACCAGCTTCCTACCGGATCCACCCCGTGTTTCACGTTTCCCTGCTCAAACCGGCCGTGGTGGACCCTTTTCCCAATCGGGATCCTGGGCCCCCGGCCCCTACCATCATTGATGGTGGTGAGGAATACGAGGTTGAGGCCCTCCTTGAGTGTCGAAGGAGGGGGGGGCGTTTGCAATTCCTTGTCAAATGGTAAGGCTATGGGCCGGAAGAGAACTCCTGTGAGCCGGAGTCTAATTTGCATACCCCACGGCTCATCCGGAAATTTTTTCTAGAGCATCCTGAGACCCTTGCCCGGGAAGCAGCGGCTACTGCGCATACGGCAGCTACTGTGCATGCGCAAACGGCAGCTACTGCGCATGCGCAAACGGCACATGGCGCACAGGAAGTGACTTGCTCTGTCTGGGAATTATCCTATTTAAGCTGGCCCAACTCCCAGGATCTTTGCTGAGTGGTCTTTCAGCTTTAGTGTGTATTCCTGTATCTTGCCTGTTGCCATATCATCTTCGACCGGATTCCTTGACCTTGCCTGATTACCGCCTGCCTCCAACTTCTGCTTGTCCCTGGATTCTCCTTTGACACTTCTCACTTTACAGTCCATGTACCCATTGCACTCCTGACCGCATATCCATTAGAATAACATGGGTGCTCGGTAGTCGACGGATTGCCAGCATCACAGTGATGCAAAAGAATATAGACACCGGCACCCCAATAGCAGATATAATATGTCTAATTATTGACGTACATGCAAAAAGATAGCACAGCACACTAAGTGCGACATTTAGGGGTCACACAGAATCCCCTTCATCAGGCAGAACACTTGTTCTGCCTGATGAAGGGGATCCTGTGTGATCCCGAAACGTCACACTAAGTGTGCTATGCTACCTCTTTGACACTTCTGCCTCTTCCATCACCTTTAAAGCAGAACTAAAAAAAGTAAAAATGTTCTTAACCCTTGAAGTGGGTCTACCTCCACACTGCAAGGGTGAAGTGCTTGTGTTTGTCTAGGAGCAAATACACTCCCCTGAACCTCGGAGCCGACGGACTGTACCAGCGCTCCCTCCAGCCTGTCTATTCCTCTGCTCCAGCTATGATATGTCTCTCGGCATCCTCACATCCTATACACTATTTATGGTACTTCTTAAATGGTTAGAAGTTCTTTAGCAGCATGGAGAAAATGCATGGGGCTGCCTGCTAGTTTGGGGGTTTATGCTCTGCATTCCTCATTTGGGCCCATTTACCATCCTATGTCCATCTGTGTTTCATTAACATGCGTTGCATCAGGGGCAATTGATTTATTTTGAATGGTCTGCCAACATAGAGGAACAGACCAAAAATTTAAAATGCAGCATTTGTTTCTATGCAGCACACCACAATGCACAGTAATGGTACAAGAATACTCCAAGATGACAACGCCAGCATTCATGGGGCACACATTTTGAAAGAGTGGTTCAGGGAGCATAAGACATATATTTCACACATGGATTGGCCACCACGGAGTCCAGACCATAACCCCATATAGAATATTTGGTATCTGCTGAAGATGACTTTATGCCTTGCTCCCACTCTCCCATCAACACTACAAGATCTTGGTGAAAAATGAATGAAACTCTCAATGGGAATACTGTAAATGTTGTAACATTTCATAAGGCTATTGAAACCATGTCACAGTGAATGTGTGCTGTAATCAAAGGTAAAGGCAGTCCAATGAAATATTAGAGTGTGTGACTTTTTTTTAGGACCAACAGTTTATGTTTTATTAATGTTTTCTTGCAATTGGAGTTTTCTTGAACTGTTCTACAAATATATGCACTGTAGCTGTAACCAAATCGATATTGTATCAGAGAACAGTGTTTAGTGAGGGTCTGGAATGTAAGGGGCTCTCTTGTGTTCAGTGATGAGAAATGCAGATACTAGACAAAGAAAACGCTCCTGCTGTTTTACACACCCTGGAGCTGCATTGCATAGCTGGGTGTGACAGCTCCCACATAACAGCAGTGGGAGAGGTGAGTCTGTATGAGGAACAAGTTCCAACAGCCAAATTCCATGTTAAGAACCACTGTAAACCAGCTTTTATCAAGACAGCACAAAATAACAAGCACAGCAACTTTTTTATAGACCGTCTCATCAAAATTATGTTTTCTTTTGATGCTTATAGACCTATTCACTGTGCAATGCGAACTCCAGTAATCATAGTAACCAATCAGATTTTACTTTACTGGAGTAAGATCATGTAAGATGATTCTTTATCATCTACTTTAATTGTTTACTATCACTGTTTATTACACTTCCTTGCTTAGTAAACATATTATGTAAGTTAGTAAGGAAATGTTATTTGTGCTAATTCTTAAGTGCAGTGACCTATAGTAACTAATGCAAATTCATCTTGTAATGATCTACTTC